CCAGCTCCATGGGTCCATTTTTGTCGAAAATGTGCTGAAAATCACTAAAAAATTGCTTTTTGTCCTGAAAAGCATGGCCAGGCCTGTCTGACGTGTCTGAGACTAGGCTCAGGCCCAGCCAGCCCACCCAGCCTCAGGCCCAAGCTTTGTCTAACGTGTCTGAGACTGGCCTCAGGCCAACGAGTCTCAGTCTCAAGCTACGCCAGCTACTAAGCCTGTCTGACGTGCCCCAGCCCCAAGCAGCTCAGCCCAGGCCGACCTCCTGCTCGCGTCTGGCCCCAAGTCATCCAGCAGAGTGGTCTCAAAGTATGCCAGCCTGAGACTAGCCTCAGCCCGCCTGCTGGCGTGTCTTACGTGTCTGCAACTGGCCTCAGGCCCAGCCCCTCAGCCCCAAGTGTGTATGAAACAGGCCTTGCCCATCCAGCAACGCCCAAGCACAGCTCAGCCCAGTCCGTAGTCCGGCTTCCCGGCAGCCAGCAACCCACCCTGCAGGCCCCGGCGCATCTCAGGCGAGACTAGCTGGCGTGTCTTACGTGTCTGCGACCCAGCCCAGCCAGCAACTCGCCACCCAGCCTCAGGCCCAAGTGTGTATGAAACAGGCCTTGCCCATCCAGCAACCCGCCCAAGCACAGCTCAGCCCAGCCCGCCCAGCCCAAGTTCCAGGCACAACCAGCAGCGTAGTCCGGCTGCCCGGCAGGCAGCAACCCACCCATGGCTTCGCAGCCTCGTGGCTGAGACTAGCTTCAGGCCCAGCCCAACCAGCAACCCACCTCAGCCCAGCCTGCCCAGCCGAGGCCCCGGCGCATCTCAGCGCATGCCACGGCCCCCAGTTTCGCAGCAGGCTCAGCCCAGCGTGCCAAGGTCAGGTTTGTCTGACGTGTCTGAGACTGGCCTCAGGCCAACGACCAGTCTCACATGTCTGAGACTGGTCTCAAGCTACGCCAGCTACCAAGCGCCCTAGCCCCCCCAGTCCGGCTGCCCAAGCAGCTCAGCCCAGGCTGACCAGGCCTTGACCTCCTGCTCGTGTCTGGCCCCAAGTTATGCAGCAGGCCCAGCCCCTTCGGCGTCTCAAGGTATGCCAGCCTGAGACTAGCCTCAGGCCCAGTCCCTCAGCCCGCCTGCTGGCGTGTCTATTGGGGATATTTTTCCGGGGTACTTAAGCAAATGGAGGTTTGTATTCCCACCATGTACCTGTCTTGGGCTGAGCAACCGAGCAAGAAATGTATGTCATGGCAAGCCGCCAGCCACGTGAAATGGAGGTGCCCAAACACCCAAAGTTGGTCTTGGTTGTTCAGTGACACCAATTATTGTTCCCCTTTTTATGGAGGCCAAGCCCCACTAAAAATTCTCATCCCCAGAAAGAGGTCCTTTTTTTTCCAAGGGCACTGAGCAGCTGAGATAGTCTTGGTTTTCTTCCGAGCAGGACGGCTTCCGAACATCGAACTAGCACGGGCGAACTGGTGCGGTCACAAGCTTTCAGTAGGATTCGGACCTTCCCAACACTGGATTTCGGTGTTCCTGACCCTTCCCTCAAACTAGGCTGGGCCGAGGCGGGCAACGCGAAGCGTTTACAATTAGTATACATCACGAGGGCTCCCGAAATGGTGAAACTACATCAACGAAAGAACCATGGTCCGGCGCGGAACTTGCAGTTTCCCGCTTGCGACATGGGGAATAACATCATCCAGCAAATCCACAACGACATCCTAAAAGCAACAGCGCCGGCGGATGGGCAAAAGACGCCGAGACGCAAAATCAAATGGCTGCCTGTGGCTGCTGCAAATGGCACTGCCGCCACCGACAGGCAAGAGCAGAAAATGCAGCAGCTCATAGCCACTTTGATCGGGCACATGTCGCAAAGCCAGCCACCAAGCATGGTGCCTCAGGAAGCTAGCAAGCCGCAAGCCGATGCCAGATGGCAACTGAGTTCAGTGGGCAAAGCGAAAGCTTGGACTGATAGGAAGAAAGTGTGTGGGTCACAACTTGCTTCATGCATGGACTTGTAACTTATTACTTTGCAAAATCTTGTGACCAGAATGCACAAACCAAGCAAACGCAGGTTCTCCCAGTGCGGTCATGCCATCATGTTGAGCTGAACCTACCTCAAACAAACAGGCCACACCAACCTAATTGGGCCCCTGTCCCATCCCTAACGGTCAAGCTCGGCCGCCACCTGCATTGGAACTCTCACGGCTTCCCTGTTTGCCGTTCCTCGGGCCCCTGGAACCCATGTCAGTCGTAGCCCAAAGCAAGTGATGGCGGCACCTGTGGTTGGGAACGCCCTTTTCTATAAAAATCACTGGATTTTGGGTCACATGACTCAAAACGTACTCAGCTGCCAAGGCGCCAAACACGGCACCCAGCCCGCGGCCCAGGAAGAGGTTGTCCAGCTGCAGGCCGCTAGTCAGGCCCATGCGGCCCGCCAAATCCGAGAGAGTGAGGCCCACAATGACGGTCTGGGATGAGTCCATGACAGGAGAACCCACGTTTCTTAGAAAACGGCCGAAACCCACAAAACACCAAGACTCAGTTGTTTAAGCTCGAGCGATGGAATCGCAGCTGCTCAAGAAGCCTGCGTCAATTTACAAGCTGTCCACCGGCCAAAATCCTCAAGCTCACAAACTGCAATGACTCGTGCTGTTGGAAGAACCCTTCCGAAAGTAAGCTCACTCACTTTACTTGAAGGAGGCATCTCCAAAAACTCGGCCAAAACTCGGCCAGCTTGGTCCTACAATCGGAGAACATCTGGCCAAGTGCGTCCAAAGAGTCCGTAAGCGACTGATATGCGATCCTCAGCACAAGCGTGTGCGCATGTTTCCGCAACAATGGCGGCAGCATGAAGTGCGGGGCTGCGGTATGAATAGAAGGACCTGCCATGACCTTGCGCAAAAAAACGCGCTCCAAGTCGTTGCTTGCCGAGCATCGCAGTGAAGCATGTCCATGCCCGGATCTTGGAACGAACGCTGTAACTTCGGTACAGCCCAGGCTGCTTCCCGAACGTCATGGAGCGAGAAAAGGAGCTGCCCAACTGGTTTTCTTAGATTTGGTGTACAGTTGACTGGCTCAAGTCATTCAAGGCCAAGCCTATGTTGGTGTTAGATGTTTGGCCACTTGTCAAGGCCGAAGCTGTCTTATGGTTGATTCGGCAAGCTGTGGTGTGTGTGTGTGTGGAATGTTGTGCGCGTATGTGTTGAATGTGCTTGAGTGCATGCTGCTCTTTCATCGTTCACAAAGCACTTGAGACCAGCGCCGCATCAAACAGCTGAGTCACAGGAGTCACATTGGCCCCAGCAGGAAGAAGCGGTGCCCTGCCATGCAAGGTCGGCGCACACCTCGGCTTGGGCCCTTGCTGCGAGGTGGACTGCCGCGATTGGAGCCTGCGCGGGAATCGGGTGACAACCCGTTTGCGCATTGTGTTAGCAGGGGACTTGAACAAAGACTGCCGTTCTCGCGGCTTGCCCACTTGAGAGACGACCTCGCTTGGAACTCAAGGAGCAAGCGAATACCCGCAGTTAAGAGTCCTCTAAGTAGCTTAAAGCCAGCCAGACACAAAGTCGCCGCCTTCAGCAGGTTATGAAACAGAAGTTCTACCCCACCTCGTCTTCAACGAGGCCGTCTTCCGCCGCGCAGCGCCCGCCGCTGGGCGCTCCATAAGCAGCGTCACTCGCTTGGTGGACCTGGGCCACTCACTCAACTGATGCGAACTTGCTCCAAAGACCGTGACAAATTTGTCGTTTGAGGAGCCCTCTGGCCAATGTTCTGTCCTTGTAGTTAGGTCATTGCTTTGGGGTTCGGAGCAGCCTTGAGGCTCACTTGCTCATAGAGCACAATCTAATGAAAATGTCAAGTTCGACTGGGCTGAAGCCGAAAGGATGCCCCGGCCAAAAAAAAGCCTTTGGTAGGAACGCCCCCACCCCATGATTGTGGGAAGGGGCGAGTGCACATACTACCTGAGGCGACCTTGTTCCGGTGGGCCGACTGGGCAGACGTTATGTGCCAACTTTTGGCCCCAAAAGAGACCAGCCCTATTAACAAGGCTACTGCATGGGCGCCTTCCAGCAAGTTCCAAATTAAAACAAATGGGAACAACCAGACCAAAGACAGTGATTCAGGGAGGTGACCAAGTTGGACCAGGGATGCATTGCCACACACATGCTACAACTTTAATGGACAATTGCGTGCAATTGAAGCCTCATACAGTTATACCCATAGTTTCATCCAATTCTCCGACCCGAAACCACCCCACTCCCACAATCAATCGCATGCGATGTGTAGGAGCAGGCCGAGGCCAGGGCGATCGGATCGCCAGGGCTGTCTCATTGGCGTTGCCCACCTGGATGTTTTAAGAGTCATCCCAAAAGATTCAATACCAAGGCGAGCCATGGGACGGTCATGGCCCCGAATTGCTGCTTGCCACAAACAGACCCCTGGCAGTGGCATCCATGGCCCAAATCACTGTCTCACTCATGCCGGCCAGCGTCCAAAGCAGACGAGTTTCTGAGATGCTAATTATGCAGGTAAGTAGGCCCAGGGCGGTCACGTTCTTGCTGCCGCGTTTGCGGTAGCCTCTCAGCTGGTTCGCACAAGTATGTCACGTGAATGCAAGCGCGCCTACCACCAGGTCCCCCGTCTCAATGCCTGCAGCAACAGCCACCTAGGCTATCAAATCGGGTGACGCCGGCAGGCACAAGGCATTGAGGCAAAAACGTTGTCGGTAGACCACACCTGGAGCCTAGGTGCAAAATTTCCCGGGCAGCAACACATCACATGATGGCGCTGCTTTAGCCCGGCCCAACAACCACAAGCCAAAGAGAAGAGAAATAGATGACATGGCAAAGGTCATTGATTGCTTAGCAAAGATCATTTCTGTACATCACAGACATTATAGTGGAAATGATCCCAAACGCAGGAATTATTGAGATGTAAGCTTCTGGCTGTCCAAAAAACCCAAAATAAATGTTGACAGAAGATAGCATGTCCTCCAGGTATTGGATCAAAGAAAAGTGTATTAGAATGAAGATCACCCAAAATTAAAAGACGTGTACTAACTAAATTGTGTAATGTTAATAAACGTGTGAAAGCTGTAATCAAGAAAGGGAAAGGAAATAATGGGATAGTCTGTAATATAAGATAATACGATCTCAAATTTACAATTGTTGTCCAAAAGTTAAAGAGATGCAAGACATGAAGATGAGAAAACCATAAAAGAAGTGCATGATGGTGGATACTATGTCCATCCGGTACCACCTCCAAATTCTGAGATTACAGGAAGGATAAAGAACAAATATGAAAGTAAAATAATTATGATAGAACCATTGTTGACTCTGGGATATACCACTTCTGGAGATCCTTGAAAGATAGGTACAAAAGCAAACTAAACATAACTAAGAAAGCCCTGCAATGTACTGCTTAACTTATACTATAGAAGTTCTGGTTTTCGGGACATATTATCTTATTTCCTGATAAGAACAATTCTATTCTTATAAGGACTGATATTAATGTACCGGAGATTCCAGAGATGAATCCACATAATAAATAATTGATTTCCAAGCCTTTATGATTACAATGGTCTGCTAGTGAATGCAATAATATAGCAAAATCATAAAATAGAAATAATATAAGTCTCGACTGCTAATCATTCCTTTTCCTTCGTTACCCCTCTCTTTCCATCTTTATCTTCATGCTCTTTATGTTTAACTTAATTTTCAGAAGACAGAGATGGTAGATGGAAAGAACATGAAGTGGAGTATAAAAATGAATCTCCATTCATCCGCAATTTCTCACCCCTTGGCCATCACATTTGCACTTTCAAAGTAACAGATCATAAGATGGAAATATAAATGGAAAGGCAACCAAAAAAAAACTGACATTGAACTCTAGAAATTATTCAAGCCTTTCCATAAAGACACTTGTCCATTTCTCTTTACTTCTTCTTTAGAATTATTATATTTTGGAATCACTACATTTAAAGTTACATCAGAATCATGTTGTATTCATATTTCTATCTGTTTAATCTTTGCAACTATTATAAGTCGATTTATCTTTACAGGATTGAATACTTTTTGTTGGACTGGAATTCTCCTCTCATAGAATTACTTTCTTATATTAATTCATCTTATTGTTTTGTATTCATTTATTGCTTTCATATTTGGTCTAGAGATTTATTCAGAGAATTAACTAAACCTATATGAATTCTTATTCACAAACTTTTTACATGTCCAGGACTCACCACACCACGATTACCTACCGTTACCAGCGTCACAAATCACATTGCGGACTGTTGGCAGCCCAGCTGACAACCCGGCCGCACCCGGCGGCTTTTCATCCACGCCCTGGCAGTGGGGCCCCAGGCGAGCCACTGCCCGCAGCCGCAGGCCGCACCACAAAGTGTTTGTGCAGCGTTGGCCTATGGCTTGCGCCCTCCCAGCCAGGCACACCAAACACCAAACAAGAATTGCTAGCAACCCGAGACTGGACACGCAAGTGTTCTGAGCGTTCCAGCAAGCCACTCTGCCTGAAACCAATGCCTTGGAACAACCTCCCGCTCCAACTGGGGCTGCGGCTCGATCTCCAACTCCCACTGCCTCTGTCCTCATGCTCGTCCCATCGGCCGATTGCAAAAGGAAGCTTGCCGCCAAAGGCGCTAGACTCCGTGTGATCGCACCTGCGATAGCCAATCGGAACACAACTACCTCCAATTCAGAACACTCAGATAGAATTTACCTAATGGCCTGCTTAAGAATAAAGCAGTCTTCCATCGACGTGCAGTCAAGCACAAAAGGGGAAAGAGACTGTTTGGCCTGAGCCTTGGACAGCTTCAATATGGCGCATGTGGCCTCAAAGCGCGCTCTGGCCTGGGATGAGCCTGCAGCACCCGGAAGGTCATCGTCCTCATGCAGAAACATGTCCCCAGCAATGGCGCTAGCAACACCTGCCCCAATCGCATTTCTAACTTCGCTCCAGCCGAAAGCCAAGAACACCCCAAAAAACAAGCATGGTTTCTGACGGGCCAATGAATTCCAAAGGGGCGTGATCTTCCAAGCGGTTTCCTTTTGTGCAAAAGTAGGCTTATAGCGGAGCCCATGGACCTTTCGCCATTCAGCTGGGGCTTCGGCTTGTGCTTGTCAACCGTCAGCTGCTGGGCCTTCCCACGCCCAATGATGGTCTCCGCTCCCGCCTGGCAAGGCCCAAGCAGGCAGCATGGCACGGCAATGTGCCAAACTCACACGCCTCTACAAACGCGAAACAAAATAAAAGCTGTTCAGCCATGCGTGCATGTGTTAAGAGAAAAACAAATACATCTCAAATGTGTAGTGTGTGTGATGCGTGTGTGTGTGTGTGTGTGATGTGTGTGTGGTTGTGGGGGTGGGTGGGTGGGTGGGTGGGTGGGTGGGCGGGCGGGCGGGCGGGCGGGCGGGCGGGCGGGCGGGCGGGCGGGCGGGTGTCTGTGTGTGTGTGTGGGTGTGTTGGTGTGTGGGTGTGTGTGTGTGTGTGTGGTGTGTGTGCATGTGTGTGGCTGTGTGTGTGTGTGGTGTGTGTGTGTGTTTGGTTTGTGTGTGTGTGCGTGTTTGGTTTGTGTGTGTGTGTGTGTGTGGGTGGGTGGGTGGGTGGGTGGGTGGGTGGGTGGGTGGGTGGGTGGGTGGGTGGGTGGGTGGGTGGGTGGGTGGGTGGGTGGGTGGGTGTGCGCGTGTGTGGTGTGTGGGTGGATGTGTGTGTGTGTGTGACGAGAGCGTGTGTGCGTGACGAGTGTGTGTGTGTGTGACGAGTGTGTGGTGCTAAGCTCCTGATTTTCGAATGTGCGGGGTGGAGGCAATACGGCGCTGAGTGGTCCGGCCAGCCTTGTCCAGGAGCATCATGAAGCCGTGATCTTTCAGAACGGTGTGGCATTGTTCCATCAATTGGCGGATGGAGCCATTTGCATCCGTCCTTGGGGACGGCGCCACGGATCTAAAATGAAATATTCGCCCTCACTGCCCTGGGTCCTTGTGAGGAAGCAGTCAATAAGAGTCTTGCCGACAATGGCGTCGAAGTAGCCAGCATCAAAGTGACTTGCCAAGCTCAAGGCCTTACCGCAGACTAGCTTGTCTCAATGCCTTGCATAAGCAACTGGACAGTACGAGTTTTCAATGGTTCTGCTTGCCGAATTTCCGAAGCTTCCAAAGGATGATGCTTTCACAGGTGGCCTTTTGGACAAATAGATGGCCCTGGTAAATGAAATAAACCCCATCTAAACCAGTGCCATCCACTTTTAACCAAACGAACCTAGAAAGATCTAGAAAGGACACCTATGGATGCTTCATGGCTAGCTTGCCTGAGGCCAGGGCGTCAGCACACACCCATCGGATGTGCGGATGCCGGGCCTTGTTGGCGTTGATCACCTGGAGAGCCAGGGCGCAATGACTGCGAAAGCAGGTCAAGGGAGTTCCCTGCATATTTTATGGTGGCTACCCTCAGTTGCGAAAGGTAGGGCACTCCAAAAAGCGGAGCCCTTAAGGACATGAATCTTCGAGGGCAGGTCTGATGGCTTCTTGGCATCACTGGCGCCTCTTGCGAGAAGTCGACGCCAACAACTTCGACCTAAGGCTGGAAGTGGCCATTGGCGAGCCGAACCACAGGCCCCAGTTGCGGGACTGGGCCATGGAAAGGTTCTCTGGGGATCTCTCTCTCTCTCTGTCGGAATCCGTTTCACTGGCGTGAGGGCACACTCCCGTGAAAGGCTGATCACGGGTTGTTCAAAATGGGACATGTTGAATGAGCCGCTGCGACACCTGCATTGTATAGTCCTTACGGTTTCACCGACAACCCCCTTCCAACAAAACATGCTCGTTTCTGCAGGAAAAAAGTTACGAGAGGCATGCGCAACTCGGTGTGGTCAGTGGTCAGCGGAACTAACAAAGAAACACCCTCTGAGCATCACGGCAATGAGTGGGACCTCACCCAAAATCAGCTGACGTGAGAACGCAGAAAGATCCTTGCCATGGCCCTGCAGAAGGGTCGCCAGCTCCCACCCCACCCCACCTACCCCACCCTCCATCCCTAAACCGGCCCTCCATCCCTATCAGCTTCCGTTTCCTGAGTCTCTTGCCCCGCTTTCCTGAAGCATCGGCGCCAGCTTGGAGCAACCGCAGCCCAGCTCACAGATCTTCAAAGGCTCCTGTTGGAGAGCCAAACCGAGCCGCGCAGCTGCGAGATTTGCCACGGGACAAATCCCAACACCAGCTGCAGCTGGGGCAGAAAAGCATCAACTGACCCCCAAACTCACCAATCAAATTGGGCATTCTTGCCATTCAAATTCAAATGATGTTTGAAGTTTAATTCAAAACCACCACGAGTGGGAAATAGGGGACCCTGGGCCCTCCAACAAAAACCAGGGCCCGCGGTGATTTGTTCTTTTCTCCTAGATGGTTGCAAGAGAACCCGGCCGATATTCACTTCCGAGTTGGCTGTCTGGTTCGGATCCCGTTTCAATCTGTCTGATCCAATTTTTTGTATCCTGGCCTGCTTTGGGATGCCCGAGAGAACCTGGCGCAAAGCCAGGGGCAGCGCCGAAAGACACCCCAGACCCCGGCCGTGCCTCGGTGATGGCATTAAGAACCTGAGGTGACAAAACCCTCAGAAGCACGCACAGCAATCAAATCCCCTCAGCAGTCGGGACCTCCCTAAGGCAAACCACTATCATATCTGGCATGAGAATTGAGGATTGGTTTTGAACCACCCAGGGCAATTGGCGAAGAAGACTGAGCAAGTCAAACAGCATCTTTGATCTCCACCCCGTGAGTGCCAAGCCACGGTATTGTTCACAGAGCCGGACCACTCAAGGGCCGAGTCGCCATTGTTCTGATACCACCTGCCGGTCTGCCACAATCCCACCCATCCCCCCCCCCCCCCCCGCGAATTGATGGCTGAGGGCACCGCTTGTCCCAAAAGGTGCTGGACTGATAGCGTCTGCGAGGCGAGTCGCTGGCCGTGCTGCTGGTGCTACCGAAGCTCCTGGTTGTGCTGCCTGGCACAATGAGAACCCCTCAGAGGGAGGGAGGCCTGAATCGCCTGAATTCTGTGAGATGTATGCACGCATGGACATCTGGACTTTCACTTGTGACAGGCCTTTACTGCAGCTACGGCTGGGGACTTTCACCATGGCTTTGTCCTGCTTGCTCTAAGATTGTTGCGAACATGTTTTGCATGGTGGGAACCCACGGCTTTCCCGTTTTTGACCGCATGCTGGGGCGGTGAACTTGCAAGATTGAACAATAACACATATGCGGCATGCACTTTTGTGGCATGATGCATCTAAGAGGCCATTGTCTGCTCCCACAAGCGATATGGCAGCCATATGCGCAAGCCCTAAAGCCAAGAAGCTGCTCATAGCCAGCAGTTCCAGCGCTGGCAATGTCAGATGGAAGGAAAATGCTCTGGGACTTCTTACTTGAATTGCCACCAGTGCAATTGATTTGTTGTGCAATGCCAGCCTCTGTGAAGGTTTACCGGCCATGCAATCAAGACCGTACCGCATGCCACCTTTTGACAATGTAACAAGGAGCCACCGAGCTCCACAAGGACATCGCACTGAAGCGCGCGCGCCATCGAGTAGGGAGGCCCAGCCTCGCTAGGCCCTACCCCAGCGCCGCGCGACCGGCGACATCCCGCCCAAAGCGAAGCTCGCACCACGTGGCTGGTCCAAAACAGAAGCCAAAGATTGTGCAACTCCTTGCTGCGCGTGGATTGTTGGCACTCATGCAAGGCATGAACGGAATGCTAAGTTTCAGCCTTCAACATGTTGGACACGACCCCATGCGCCCTTCGCAGGTGGGGTGGCGTAACAGGTGCTGGTTCCGCAGGCGTCCCAACGAGTCCGGGGCCGCTTTGCGACCCGCGGCGTGCACGAGTGAGCCCTGGGCTCACAAAGACCTTGCGATCAATGCGCTTCTCCAAGACAAAGAAACCCAAACTATGCAAGGGACCTGCGTGACGTTTTTAAAGGGCATCTGCTTCAAGGGTCACTTCGGAAGACCCATTCGATAAAGAGTCAGGCAGTCCCATGCGCAACATTTCTGAGCACGGGACTGTGTCAACGTTTGCTTCAACTGGGCCGTCAGGGCCTGACACATTTGCAGTGACGGGCCGAGGCCGTGGCTGGGTCGTATGAGCGGGGCTGCGGCTTCTTGTTGAAACGCAATCCAGTGATTGAATCCGCGAGAATGATAAAATTCTAGCTCCGGCAAACGCAATTGTTGCCGATGCTGCGCAACACTTTGTTTTGGCATATGTCTTTCTCATGCCCTACCCTGAGAACTCCCCTTGCATCTTGCATCCGGGGGATTGTCAGGTGGGCAAGCGAGCAATGGCCCAACTGTGCCCAAAGGTGTAGTTTTGCCATGGGCAGGAGGCAGCAACATGTAGGAACTTGACTTACAACACAGGGGCGACATCCGCTCTGTGTACCTCTTGTCTATGCCCGATCCAAGCATGAAGCCTTCCGCATAGCCAGGGCAGCATCCTGCGCAATGTCGTGCGGTTTCAAATGAAATTGCACACCTCTACCCGTTACCTGCAGTAGGCCCACACATACTGATGGACCCGCTTGGGTATGACCATTTCAGTGGGGACCCGCCAAGTCAAAGAGGCGCAAAACGCAACGGCCAACATACTCGAAAGCCACGGGGGTGATGGCTTCCTTTAACTCTCCTGTAGCTGCAATTCTTGGTGGCCCGGTTGCTAGCCCAGAAATTGCAAACCAGGTAACCAATCGCACATCATCGTACCAGAAACTTACGAGTGTCGTGCCCCTGTCCTTTGGACGTGTGTGTGTGCTCATAACATATATATATATATATATTTTTGCAACCCCCCCCATGAACCCTGGTTCCTTTGAGGGATGATAAATCTAGAATCTAGAGATTCAAATTCTCGAAATGTCCAATGTTGGGTCCCCAAAACCTCATAATTTGGAGCCCAAAGTCCTCTGAAATGTCCCAGTATGATACCCTTTCCAAATAGACCTTTACTTAGAATTGTAATTTATGTTGCGTTTGGCTCATGTTGCTGCTGATGGCAGCTAGCCTCTGCGTTCGAACGCGGGGCCTCTGGCGCCTGAGTGGCTGGGTGGTACGGGAGTGAGTTGGACTCTATTGCGGGTTGGGGAGGAAAGGGGGAAAGCTGAAAGCTCAATACAAACAACACGTTTCGACAGTGAGCGTGTCTCAAAAGGGATCTTAACAGGTGTTCAACTTCCTGGCCCCCAAAAGATCTCTAGCTTTCAGCGATGCTCCATCGCACAGAAAGCAGTTTCCTTTTTTTGGGGGGGGCATAAGGAATGCTGACCGTGATGAGCCCTAGCGGGTTCTCAAAATGCGAGCCAACAAGCTACCACCGTGCCGACAGCTGCCGCCATGCTTCCAGAGATGGATGTCTGAGGCTGGTGCCTGCCCACGAAGTTCATCTGCCAGCTTGCGACCTGAGCGCTCGTGGCTTGCCAAGCTAACCCACTTGGTGTTTTTTTCTTGCACAGCCCGAGCAGGACGAAAAGCGTTGGTTTCTTGGCACGGTATGCGCATGCCGCATGCCGCTTTCTCAAGCTCTGTGGCTCTTGCACAGAAACCTTGAGACGGCCCCAACAGCTCAAGCCCCGTCCCACACCTGCGTCCGGAAGAGCAGGCTGCCCAGCACCTTCACGGAGCGAAAGCGCTAAGGGTACAGCTTCCGAAAATGACCACAACGCCGAGGGCTTGCTGACTGTATATGTTCGATATGTTTGATATTTGTATGTTTGTCGTTGCCTGTGGGTGAAAGACAGTACCTGGGAAGCCCTGACTCCCAAAATGATCCACATTCAGGCTCACATTGAAGCTGGTGAATCAATGTTGTTGTGCAAGGACGTAAGTCTTCTTTGTCGGGGTCTGGGAAGACATCAAACACCCCTTGTTGGGGCTCTGATGTTGGTAAGTATCGCCCAAATGGGGTCGTGACGCATGGCGGAAGGTTGGATCATTTATTCAGCTGAAGTTCACGACTTCAGGCAAAGAGCCTACATGCAAGAAAGTGCTCGATCCAAGCAGCAAAAAGCGCAGCTCGAACCAAAAACACGCGAGGGCCGAGGAGCAACCATTCCAATGAAATTTGTGATCAAACACATCGACTAACAAGTAGGGTGTGGTGGAACCTCTCTTCCTGACAGGGGCACACCTTCCAAAACAGTACGTGATGTTGGCGGGTTGGGGTGACGGACCGTCATAAACCATGGCAAAAATGCCTCAAACAACTAGTTTTACACAATCCGTACTTCAGCCACATCTCTTTGCGATGTTCTTGAAAGATCCTGAAAGGGGGTTGGGGTGAGAACCCACGTTCTAACAAACAAGTCCAAGCATGAAGCGTTTGCGGGATCGCCGGTTTAGCTTGGACCTCGTTCCCTTCAAAATTGGGGCGCGTTGCCGAGCCGCATGCTCGCTCAGCAGCTCGGGCAGCGGTGCTGTCATTGGACGCAGTGAAGCGGCTCAGCCTTGGACTGCGCAGTCCAGGGCTTCTGGCTGAGCTTGGAAAGGAAAGCATCACAAATAGGAACACCCGCTAGATCTAGCCACAGATCAAGATCACTGCAAATTAGTATGCTGCGGCAAAGCAACCATTTTGCTCCGTGCCTGACAAATTTGGCATGCCTCCTAACAAGCGCGGCCACGCGACCAGTGGTTGAAGCAACAGCCACACCACAACAATCATTGGCTGGGGTTGGCGATCCCTTCTCATGTCCTCATGCCTTTCAGCACGCCTCCCCGGTAACCACATTGGCTCTCTCATGTACGGATGCTTGCCCCCCCAAAATGTGCAATTCAAGCTGCCTACGAAAGGCAATGATTCACTGCCTGTCTGAAATGTATAATTTTCTGTTACTTCCCCCCCTCCCCCCTCACGGATATATTGCGCGCGCTTTGCGTTGCCAGTGTCAAAACCCCAGGCCACCCCCTTTGTACATGTTTTACATCTGCGGCGATAGCAAAAACCTGCGGCTGGCAGTCAGTGGCAAAGCTTGCCCACCCTCAGCCATGATCCCCGACTCTTCCTCCCGCTCGCGCCGCTTCTTCTCCATCAAGGCTTCCCCTGGCTTGCCGCGCCCGGAAGAGGCTCAGCAGGGCCCTTCCCGGATCCGCTCAAATTCCCAGAAAGCGCTCCATTATTTGTGTTAACAAAATAGGGGCTGGGCCTGCCTTTCAGGCGATCAAGGAAATTAGAAAAGCCAAGCTGTTCCGCATGCAGTGGCTGCCTGAGCTTCGTACAAAGGTGTTGTGTTGTGGATTGGGGTGACGCACGAGCAAGGCCGGCTAGGCCAACAGGCGCGTTCGCATCCAAAAAGCTGTGGGGATTAAAGGCTTTCGACCATCTCTGGGAGACGGACTGACATCTGTCATGTGCCCGGGTCTTCTGAAAGAAGCTGCCGAGTTGACGAGCAACAAGTGTCTAAGCAAAAAAAAAGCGCAAACATCGCAAAACTCAGCCAAGCAACAGTTTGCGCCAACTTCCCGCGGGTTGTCCTACAATGTCCTGTAGCATGCGGAGGGAAGAAGTAACCCTAGAGTCTGAGGTGGTAGCAGGTCATTTGCTGCAAATGCTGCAAGCACGACTTGCCCCTTCGCTTAGTGTAACTCTGTCTGTTGACACCCCGCCCTGGCCCCGCTGAGTCCCCTGGCGCTGTCGCCGCAAGTGCTCCGCACGCGCCTCGCGCTCCTCCTGGCGAGTCGAGGGGCCAAAGGTGCAGACCAAATGCCAAGCGTGTTCCGAAAATTTGGCCATACTAACAAAATACGTCAAGTACAAACAATGAATAGGTGGGCGAGCTCGTGTTATCACTGCGTGAGCTCGATAAAATCCGAGCAGGCGTGGACGTCCAAACGGTTGGGAGCCTTTGGGGAAAGGGGGCCAACCCGAACCAAACCGACCATCTGGAGTGTGACATATCACAGCAAGCAAACTGGACACAAGCAGAACTAGTGGTTTGAAGCAATTGAAGCCTAGAGAAAGGCTGGTAGATCATCGGCATATATCGTCATGAAATTTAGACTATCTCAGCTTCCGATCATGACATCATTGGTCCTTGTACATTGAGGAACTTGCTGGAAGTCATGCAGCAAGCGAGCAAGATGCAAG